TAGCAATTAACATCAATAAAAGAGACCTTGGTATGTGAAATACAAAGTTTGTATAGAAATAGGATTTGTTTTGGTTATAACTCAATAATAAAAGAAATTTGTTAAAGTTCCAAAATCCACTATGTAAGTTGTCTTGAGCTTGTTGGTTTATTTAGCAAGAACTTCATGGCTTTGTGATTGACATGGACATTGAATTTATTGCCCGAGGTAATATTTGAACTTTTGTGTAGCATTTATTATGTCAAGGAATTCTTAACTTAGTAGTGGAATAATTTTTTTTTAGTATACCAAGTTGTTGCAAAGCATAGTAGATAGAGTGGTCTTTTTTTTCATTTTAATTAAAAAAAAAAAAAAAAAAAAAAAAAAAAAAAAAAACCCCCCCCTCTAATAGAATAATTAAAGACATTGACATAGATATAAATTTTTTTATTCTAATTTGGCAAAAAGAGAATGAATGTAGTTATAAGAATATATTTGAGTGTTTCAAAGGTTTAATGGCAAGTTTTTTTCTATTCGAATTCTATATTAATATAAAAGAGGGCTATAAATGGAGATATAATAAATAAATATTTAGAGATAAATTGACAATAATATCCTATACATTCCAAAAAGTGTTAGAAATCTTTGTTGTTCTAAGTAGCAAGATTTGTTAAATAATAGCCATTTTGACTTGGTAAACTATTATACCTTGAGAGGTGCAAACATGTCATGGAAGCATGCTACATGCCACTCCAAAGATACCTTTATTTGGATTTAGGAATATGTGGGCTTTTCTACAAATAGTGAAAACTTGTTGAAGATCTCCAATATAATGTATATATGAGTTGTATATACAAATGTTGTCTAATTAAACTTCTAGAAATTTTTACAAGGTAGAAAAGTCAAGCATCATATTTTGTTAAAAGATTGTTTGGATATTTTAGAGGCCAAAGGTCATAACTTTAAATACAAAGATATCAAATTTAGTGATGAAAGTGGTTTTGTGTTGGTCTTTGAAAGCAATGGAAATTTGATTGTAACCAAAGTAATTAATGAGTAGAGAGATGTGCTTTTTATTTGTTGTCTAGTTATAGATTATGTTTGTAAACTATATGGAGTAGTATAAGTCACATAATTGACTTATTTGTCATTTTAAAACAATATATATACATAGAATGCCAAAACACCACAATTTAGGATTAGATAGGACAAAAAAATCTTTAATAAGTGAAAAAAATAATACTAATTGTAGAGGTGCAACTTCTTAAAGGAACTCTAACATAAAATTTTAAGATAATTTCAATTTCTTAGTCCTTGTCATCCATGTTGTAGTTGGTTGTTTTATGCTTGGAATTTGGCTAAGTGGAAGCTCCCAACTTCTATATAGAATTGTTGCCAATTTAATATTTATTGATATACTTAATCTAGAATATCAGCTGAAGAAGCTTCTCTCTATTTCTTCAATAGCAAAAGCAAGATAAGGTGTTGTGCTGCACATAAGGTGCTGCACTCAAGTAGTTCCATAAAATAAAATAGCCTAGGTTAGGCTTTTGGACTTATGGTAGAGAGAGGGAGATTGAGAGAAGAACGTAGGAGGTATAGAGTGGTTGGCAGGGCAACTCCGGTGTACAGAAAGGAGAGCCACGTTGAAGCATGAACGGAAGAAGAAAAAAATTAAAACATAGAAGCAGTAGCAGAAGTGGCATGATAGAGGGAGCCGTCAATGCGAGTTGCTGCTCCAATTTCCTCGGGGAGGATTTACGTTGAAAAGAGTCCCGTTTTGTCATGGTTTTAAAAAAAAAAAAAAAAAAAAAAAAAAAAAACTCCCCTCTCTCTCTCTCTCGCTCCTAATTCAGCTCCGGCTTGCAGCAATTTTTTTTCCTGCGATGTTTCTCAGTTTGGTTTTTTCGCATTATTGTTCTGTCGTGATTGCGACGTCGCCAGCATTGGTCGGCGTTCTTTATAGCTGCGGCCTTGGTAGTGGGCCCTTCATTGTATTTGTGCTGCAGTGGATCTGCGACGTTGCCGACGTCTGGTTCCTGTTTACGTTGTGTTATTGTTACTGATCAAGGTTATCGGCTGAGCGGTTGGTTGACGGCTGTGTTCTCTTTTTCTTTTCTTTTTTTTTTCTCTCGCTCGGGTGTTTGGCGGCGGTGTCATTGGATCTCCTATTCTGCTACTTGGCTGATTTCTATTGTCGTCAACACTTCTCGTGCCATTTCTCATTCTTGTTAGTGCTCCGAACTTGACATATGGTAGTTGTTGACGTGATTCGTTTGTCATCGGCCTTCCTTTAAGTTACTAATTCATCATGATCTCCATTTGGATCAGCCCTACTTCGAGCTGATCTGATTCTTGATCCGTTTGTTTGTGACTTATCCTCAAACTGCTGGCCGACATCGCGCCGGTCCTTATTTACGGGGGTTGGTCTTCATTGTTTCGGTAGCAGTATTGGTGAGCATCGCTAAGCGTGTTGTTGTGAAGTTGCAACTGGAATTACTGTGTTTCCCATCCAACGTCGACTTCCTTCAACAATGTTCTGTTCTTACCTCATCCTGCTACGTGCAGCAGTAGAGTTCTGTGCCTGGATTTTTTTTCCTCTTCAACTGGTCTGTAGTAGAAAGGCGAGTGATACTTGTGTTGTGCGAAGGTGTTGGTGTCGACGTGAACCCGCTCTGTTTGATTCTTCTTTGGTGGACCTGCCAAGCCAATTCCGCTTTTGATTATTTTTTTCCTAGTGTTGCTTCTAGCTCGGCGTTGATTCTGACAGTTCCTGATTTTGTTCTTTCTTTCGCAATTCTTATTTTTTGGATGTGCCTTGTGAAGTCTTCTCGGGAGCGGCGCCATTTTGCATTCCTTGTGGATGCCCTTCTAATCTAAATCCCTGTGCCAACCAATCTAGCTAACAATTTTGCAACGTTGTCAACGTCTCCTTGTTTTGTTTCTTTTTTTCTTTTTTTCTCTCGCTCTCAAGTGGTTCGGCAGTGGTGGTGCGGTTTGTCTTCTTTGCCATCATCGCACCTCCGTGCATCGTCAATTCTTTCTTTTTCCACGTTGTGGATTTCTAGAGGCCTCTAGTGCTTGCTTCTTCCATGCAGCCACTTTTGTTTTGTTTTGTGTTTTGTGTTTTTTTTTTTTTTTTTTTTTTGAAAGAATAAAAATTACTCTTTGGCCCCGCAGCTTAGAATGTCAATACGATTTGCGTTGATTTGCACCTATAGCGGTGCTTAAATTGTACCCAGATATTTTGTGATAGTATTTCCGTTTTCAGTGTTGTTATGGGCTGTTTGTAGCGGTGAGGTTAGTTGAGCAATGGAGATCTTCACTGACAATTGTGACGCAAAATTTTGAGATGCAAAATCTTGGTTCATCACCGACGTGATTCCATGCAGCTGCTTATCTTGATTCTGCTCCACATCAAAGTCTTCTTCCTTTCTCCCTACTACAACTGTATTGTTGCGACCACTAGGGATCTACAACGCCTTGTGATGCTTACCGCTGGTGGTCGTCGCCTCGCTTATCCGTTGATGTGGAGCTCACAACTGCGCTTGTTGTTGCTGTGTCAATCTTCATCCGCTGCTGTCCATCAACCTTACGCTTTGTGAGATTTCCAGAGTGGATGAGGTTAGGTTAGATGAAATATGAAACAGATGAACAATATAGTAATGAATTGATTATGTATTGAATATGAACATTATTGAATCCACTACAGACCAGTTGAAGTGGAATAGAAAACCAGACACAGAACTCTACTACCGCACGTAGCAGGATGAATACGAGGTAAGAACAGAATATTGTTGAAGGAAGTCCACGTTGGATGGGAAACACAGTAATTCCTCATCTAGTAGGAATTCAAGAGCATGCTTATAGTTGATGCAAATATAGATGGACGCAAATATAGTAGGGGCCAAATTGGTTGAATAGAGATTTTGTCATAGGCTTGTTGTGGTAGGAAGGCAACAAGTCCATGGTTTTGAAATGACTAACGCCCATCTGATGCATTATTGTATTTGGTGGTGCTTATTAATTTTGAGTGAATATCTGTTCTTTATAAGTGGCACTAAAGAGTTTTGAAGTTTTATTTGTTGCATTATAATGGTGGGCTTTGCTGAATTCAGAGACCAACAATTGTTGGGCTCTGAAAATTGCTCTAGTCCTGTTAAATACACTTTGTGCTCTTGTTGTAGCCAATTCAAAACCAAAAGAGCTCAAAATTTGATCGTAGTGATGCGTCTAGTTCTCTAAGAGAATCTGAACACTATGCTAACTGTTGTGAGGCAAATCTAACACTCAATTCTACCAAGAAATGATGTTCCAAAACAAGGGGATCTGAGCCTCTATGCGGCTACGATTTTCAAGGAGTCTGGCTTGCTCCCTTGCTCTCTCAAACCAACCACTCTCCTCTAACGAACTGAGCTATTCCAGCCGATGTCTCAAGGCTAACACGTTGTATGATTCATCAACATTCACAGTGAGCTGTCCTTCACATCGTAGTCACCTCTCCAAGCGTTCCCCGCTGCCGAGGGCAGCCATCTAGGTGACAGGTGGAACGCACTTACTGCTGCACTCCGATCGCCTCCCCCACAGCTTTCTGCACCCATCGTTGACTCGCCACCCCACCCGGTGCTGTTGCGGTATTCACCAATCCCCCGCCCACCGAGCCTGCGATCGTCTGCCAGTACTTCATCCTCGCAGGGATAGGCACCTGTGCAATACAGTCCTACATACATCCATTCGATGCTGCTTCTGTGCACAGCACATGCAATCCTCAACCGCAACCATGTCATTCCAATCAAATCCCCCCCATCATTACTGTGTTCCTGTACTCACCCGCACCATTGCCATCTTCCATTCGTGATCGCTGCACTCGATGACTTGCCCAAGGTCACTGCGCACCCAGCTTCCACATTGGTTCTCGCACTGCTTCGTGAAACCTGGGGCTTGCCAGTGGCTGCTGGTCTCTAACTAAATATCCAGCTTCTGCGCGTGGACAACTGCCAAGACAACTTGAACCCCTCAGGATGTGGCAATCCGCACTTATCATCAGGCTACCTGCAGCTGCTGCAGTGGCCATGAACCCCGTATCCCCTCCCAATCCCCCGAAACCTCTGTTATAGCTGGAGTGGACCCAGTGGGAACCTCCCCGAACGGTTCCCTAGGGCACACAGTGCCCCCCTCCCCCATATCTTCATAGCTGCCGGCCCATCATAGTGCGCGTTGCTTTACCCTGACTCACAGAGTCGTTATATACGCACCTCAGACATGCTCGTGCCCCTCCTTCCATGTCTGAGCCGGTGAAGGAGCAACGATCTGCCTCGATTCCGGCGAATCGGGCAGCTTTTACCAGCCAGGGAGCGTCATTCCTACTGAGTCAGCCGGTGAGAAGCCAATCTCTACACGGAAGTTTGCTGGGCAGTTCGGTGTTATTTCTGTGACTTAGTTGGTTGGTGTTTGAGCCAATGAAGCTTGATGGGCATGGTCCATTCCACTGCTCGAAGTGACGTCCAATTCTCTAACACGCATCAGTGCTGCCCTGAACACGGGCATGCTGTAGTTTCGAGGCCGGAGACGAAGATTGTCAATCCGGTTCATCGAGGGGCATTGGTTGACGCGAATTACTTAATGTCTGGCATTCGCTGAACAGTCACTGTGCTTGTTCTAGTGCGCCCGGTATGAGTTTCCCATGATTATTTTTGTGGGCATGCTGTGTACGTTGGGCGTACAACACATCCGTCCTGAAAAGGGGAGGGATGGTTGTGGAGCCGATTTCATCGGCTAGGTTTGTGTGGCAAGGGTCTACATGGCTCAGGTGCATTGTGTGGCGTTCACGTTGCAGGTCGACCGGGGCGGGTCTCAATTATACCCGAATGCATGTAAGTGAGAGGGATGTCTCTGAAAAATCTGTCGATCGGGCCCAAAAGCTGTAGGTCAGTTCTGCATTATTTTTCATCCTATGCGCACCAGACGTATGTGACCATGCGTCCTTTTTGTTTGCACAAAATGGCACTTTCGTGCGTCTTGACTGGTTTTCGCTTGCAGCACATGTTCGTGTCATGTACTGTGAATCGTGCATTGTGCTGTTCCGGAAGCTTCGGAGTTTGACTCCTCGTTCTTGGTTCCTGTGAAGACCAGTCAGCCAGTACCGAATCTTCACCCCGTCCTGGTCCCCGTGCCGTGGGTAGATTTCCGTAATTTATGAATGACACCAAGAGGAGGCCGGCACGGTTCCGGTTCGGCGACCGAACGGCAAGCAAGATGGACGGCGTGGCGCAGAAACCCCTATATCGAGAGAAGTCCAGTTCGACTGAATAAACCGCAAGACGTCTCCAGCACACCGTGACCGACCTTTGCGAATCCTCAACAATCCAAGGAAACGGAGAGATCACCCAAGGAGCCAATGTTTGTGGTTCCCGCTGACGCAGCGTGCGGGTTCGTGTTTTCTGTCGATTGTGTACCCGAATCGTGTGTGTGCAATCGACAAGGAGGTTTCTTAATTTGTCATGCACGTCTTATTCAGCGAGAATCGAACGGAGCATGCTGCCATTGTACTGCATGGATATGTCCCCTTGACTGTGCGCGATGATGTGTTTGAGGGATTGAATTTGTGTAGGTTGGAAACAGTGTTCAGATGTTGAGCGCATTTAGTTCTGTATTGTATACATCGTATCAGTCTTCAAATAGTACAGTAGTCTCCGAAACGCAATCTTTTCCAGCACATTATGAGGTGCTACTTTTTGCTTTTTATTTTGATTTTTCTTTCAGTCCCGCATTCTGAATTCTTTTTACAGCATAGGAACATTGTCATATCATAAGCTACAGTTTGTACTTGTCTAAATGTTGTGGAATGTGTGCTGCAATGTGTTGTGGGTTTCTTTTACAAGTTAGAGTACAATAGCGGATGTGTATTTTATTATTATTTTCATCATTATATCATTTTGTTTCGTTTGAGTTGTGCTAAATAAATTGGAGATTAATATGTGTGTGAGGACAAGTTTTTATGTAGAATATTCACCTGGGTTTGGGCTGAAGAGCTTTGAAGGCAAGTAAACCTTGTGATGCACAAGAAACATGTATTTGCTGGTATTGGTTTTGTGTTTTGAGTAGATACTTTTACATTGAATTTCCTACAAACCTTGATCAGGAAGTGTGTTTATTTGTTTAGTGTTGAAAAACAGTATGCATCAAGATACACATGCACAAGTAATTTTGATTGGTGTTGAAAGATATGATGAGTTTTATCATTATTTTAGCAGGATGCTGTTGACGAATGCATGATTTGAAAACAGATCCTAACTAGTATGTGCAAATCAATCAATAAAATTTTAATTTCAATTTTTAATGACATAATTATTTTTGTGTTTAATTATTTCAAGTTGTGTATGATTGCATGTCTGAATACCATGTACAATATATACTAATGTTGTTTTTCCTTTTTTTCTTACTTCTAAGAAATAGTTTTTTTGGTTTTAGCGTGTATTTTTAGTCAAATTGTTTCAAATTCTTCTAGACATGGTCCTTTTGAAGGGTGGATGTAGTATGGAGATCTTTGACCTAGATGTAGAATTTATTGTTCTCCAAAATGTCATGGACTGATGAAGTGTACATGGATGCTTCTGCATCATAAAATCAGCATAAATTCCAAAATCACATTTCATTGAAGAGTAATTCAATGTAAATTTTGTTGTGTCTTTTGGTTTCCTAGACAACATTGCATGGTATTGTTTCCTACTAGAAAGAGGTTGGGTAGGTTCAAGTGTAATCCAGTAAAAGCATAATTTCTAAGTTTAGATTTTTCAAATTATGTTTTAGTACCAGTAGGTAATAGTTTTTTTAATATTAATGTAGAATAGAATTTTTTGATATATTGCATTTAAATATTGATCATGTTTATAATGTAATTCTATTGGAAGACTTATTGTTGTATGCTCACATGCTAATTCATTGTTTTTTTATTAGATTATAATATTATTGTGGTTGAGTTCAAATATCAAGCTTGAAGATCGTATTAAATATCTCATTTGTCACAAATTTGTGAAATTGAATTTTATTTATATATTTTTTGTGTTGCTATGACCTTACATCAAGGATACTATAATAATATATAAAGAATGTAATAGAAAAATTTTATTCAATAAAATTTATAAAATTTTTATATTATATAAAATAAATATATAAACCACTAAAATATAAGATTTTATTTTTCTTATTCCAGCTTATATATTATAGATGCATCACATTTTAATTTTATATAAAATTATTATTTTGTAAGTAAGGTGCATGCACCAATTAATAAGTGTTTTGTATTGAATTGTACAAATTAATTTTGCACAACAAAAAAAGATCTAAGAGGTCTAACTTATAAGTATTGACATGTGTATTGCTATTTTTTCCATTATGTCGCTATGTTTTAGATTCTAATTTTTATTTATAATATATAATAAAAATCTCTATAAAAATTGATTAAAACGGCATTTAATATATTCCTTAATGTTAATAATTCTATATCCATTAAATATTTGGACTTTAGGATCTCTATAAATATAAATATAAATATATATATCCATTAAGATGAGTTAAAAAAACTATCTTATTATCTTTCAAATTAATAATTTTAAAATAAGCATTAACTAATAGTGACATAGGAGAATGTGAAGTCTCAAAGTTAGAATAAGGAATTAAGCCAATGTAGTACTATTATATTGCTATGGTGGCATTATAAAAAGCTGCAAATATCATGATGAGGGTTTCATACAAATGTTCAAAATTAATTTGAATTACAATTTGGAAATAAGGATATTGAGTAGCATAATTATTGGAATAATATGATATAAATTTCTGATGGCATTGTGTTGTGTGGTTGTTGTAGTACAAAGAAGGGATATTGGAGTCTTATGTAATGTGTTGTAAAGAATTGGTGTATGTAATTTTTTATTTGGAATTATAAAGATCGTATGATATCCACATAACATTTTGTTATCAAGACCAAAAAGAAGGTTTTGGCAAGGCAAGATAGAAGAGAAATAGAATACCTAGTTGAAGAGGTGTTGAAAGAAGACAACAGCAATAATCAATCTCACCTCCTCCTAAAAAAATTAAAGTAACATTTCACACAATCATCAAGACAACCTAATGTATTGGTGTTTTAAAGATGGTATTAAACTTAAAATGATGTTTTATTCTAAGAGGTATAATAACTCGAGTGGTTTAGTCCTTAGGAGTTAAAAGACGTCATATTTTAAAACATTCAAGCTACTACAACTATAAGTAGAAAAACTTATGTAGAAAAGTATATCAAATAAAAAAAATGTTGCAAAAAATGTCCCCTTCTTAGACAAAGAACAAAAAGACGTGTAAACTTAGACCTTTCTTTGCCTTGGCTTCATAGAGTTGATTATCATAGAAACAAACTTAAGTGTCTTTTGAGTGTTCTGGCTTTAAGATTGCAACATTCATAGAAATCTTACATTTTCTAGTACAAATAAGTATATAATATTAAATAACAATGCCATATAAACTTAAGCACAACAATGTAAAAAAGCAACTCAATCATATAAATTTGGACAAAGTAAGAATAATACTTAAACTTTCCAAACTTCTATAAAACATACATGTAGAAGTAGTAATCCTAGCAAGGTACATTGATAATTAGTCATCTAGAATTAATAAGCAAAAGACCTCAATGGAGTTTTTTTTTAACAAAAAATCCAATATTTTAAAATTATGGACATTTAGAGCTAAGGTGTTTGAATTGGTGCCATTACAACAAAATTGGAAGTTGGACACATTTGACAAAATTAGATATCTTATTGATTACCAATCTTATACAAAAGACTATTGCATCTACATTAACAATAAGTTGATTGTCTTTATTAATGTTTTTTTTCACAAACAAAGAAAATTGCTAATGTCGGCAAAGCTTCCTATGTAAAACTTGCTACATTAGAAGAAACCTCCACTAGTGCATCTATTGGCAATGTAAGCATTGACAACTTTGTCATAGTTGTAAGCAACATTGAAGACAATACTAAGAATAAAGAAGGCGGTAATAAAGACACTCACATCCACAAATTTCTTCAATACTCTAAAGATTGGATTTAAACAACTTCTATCTATAAAAACAACCAAGGAACTATTAAGATGTTGAAGAATTTAGGAATGCTTATCTTACTGCCATTACTTGTAATTACAGATTAATCATCATTATCAAATGAATACAAGAAGCCATATTACTTGACTTAAAGACTTTAACAAGAGAACAAATATGAGATATAATGTAGGGAGCTTTGAAAAAACAATAATGTATGAAGCATACCTTTTTAATTTCATTGGAATAAGAATAAGGAGCTTTTCAAAAATTCAATTGCTTCTGTGGCAAACTTGCCAAATTTGAGTGAATGTTCAACCTATATTTTTTGTTTCCTTTTTTTTTTGTTTTATTCTGTGTGGGGCAATGGGGTGAGGAAGGCGATTTGAAGAGAAACATGCTAAACTCCTTGTGGCCAAATACATTTAATTGTTTTTCGATATGTCAATCATGTGCCCATCTAATTTCTTATTTTTTTTCCTCTTTTGTTTTCACTTTCCACTACTTCCACAGAACAGGATGTTCAATATGCAACCTTTCAATGGAAAACATATAGGTATCATAAATTTCAATTCTTGACCATTCATAGTGGACTTCCAATTTAGAATGTGGAATAACTCTTCTTTTTTAAAACTGGAATGTAGGCATTTTCAAAGAGGTGGAGTACATACAATTAAGTCCTTGCAAAGGTGTACAAACTTTACCTTTTAAAATTTTGTTTAAGAAATAAGTATATTCTCTGCAAGGTGCATTGTATTCTATATTTGGAAATAGGGATACTTATCACAAAGATTGGAGTTATTCCCCAATTATAGGTGCATTGAGTCTATTTCACATGGTTCACTTTCGCATTGGTCTATTTTTAACAATAAAAACCTTGCAAGGATGAAATAACATGAAAAGTGAATAAGTATATTTGGTACTAAAATTCCATGTTAATTTGACTAGGTATGTGTGTAAATTTTTCTTTCAATGTATTGTGTAATGGTATGGGTCACTAAACAAGTACACAATGGAGATGTCTGGATGGTCGTTTGTAGACTGTTGCGGAAAGTGTCTACATTCACATCAAATATGTTCACATGATTCTATTTATGACTTTATTGGTTTTTGTAACATCTTATCCATATGTCGACATGTTGCTTAACATCACGGGTCAAATTGGAATTGAACTTTGAAGAGTAAACTATTTGCTAATAAGATATTATTTCAATGATAATATGATATTAAAACAACTGTCATTTAACAAGGGAGGAGGGGGTATTCAACAGAAATGGTTTAAGTTGCTTTGTGATAATTGAGGTGATGAGTTCAAATGAGTTTCAGATGATTCAGTTTGTTTATTTCTAGTTTCTCTTCTCTTTTTGCTTACAGAAACAGAAATCAAAGTATCCCTCACCTCTTCTAGCAGATTTGATGAATTGATTGATTGAATTTTTTTACTTAAAAAAACATCAACAGAAACAATACCTAAAACTGGAGATAATGAAAGGCATGGCATCCCAACTCTGCTCCAGACAAAAGACAATTCCTCAGGTGGCATGGGAAATGAAGCCTAGATGTATTAATAAACAAATTGTCCATGGTTGTCACCAACTTCAAAGATGATGGGTTTGCTTATTACAAAACTTGTTTTGACAGGCAAAGTCTCTGTCTCCAACAATCAACCACATCAAAAGATGTTAACTGTCCAATCAAGTAATTAATAGTTAAATATACAATTTCACTTTTACAGATTATTATTAGTTTTCTCCTGCAGATATGTCATCTCAAGTAATTCAAATTCTATAATGAAGAATATCCATGTTTAGAAATTTGGGTCTCATGCTTCACCAATCTACGGAACAAGAAAACTAAATGGACTTGATCTCCTAATGACCATTTAAAATGATCCATTCAATCATGGTCTTGAAAAGTAACTGCCATCAAGTCAAATATCTAATGCAAAGTCATGATAACCAAATTGAATTTTTCATGGGTTGTGCTATGCATCCATTAATTAAACATTTAAACATTTTCTTTTTGTAAACAAACCAAGTTACCTTTTCTCCTGCTACAAAAGCCTTGGGATTGAGAAACCTTGGAATCTCTCTGTCAAGTCATGGACATGATAGACTAGAACAGGGCAGCTGCAGAAAAAGGGAATCAGTTGTTCTTACATATTGAATGATAACTGATAGCCCATTCCTCTTATATGTATTTAATGCATAAATTTGTAATAAGATATCTCATTACTCTTAAATTTGTAATAAGATATCCCACACACACAGAGATACAAATTAAGGAGGTTATTGCATGTCTTATATTTTCAGGTTATCTCAGAATCAATCAAATGAAATCATTTATTAACATTGCCATGGAATTTGTATCTATTTTGTAATAACATATTCACACATTCCAGTAAACCCTTCTCACACTGAATTCAAATTAACATGTCTTCACACAATCGAAGAGGATGCTAGACATTAACAGTCAAAATTCATCTATGTGGGAACTGCTTCCAGTAATCACATTTCACAATATTACTGATTGAGAATTAACGTAAGAGTATTAAAGAGGACATTCTAACTTCAGTGCGTGCAAGTTTACATGCTAATACCAGAACACAATCTGCAGGGTAAAATTACCTACACGAACCTTCTGCTCAATTTTTTCCTCCACAGCGACAGGGCTCTTCAATATCACATTCGTGTGCTAATGAATAAGCAACACCTGTCAGTGTGGAACTTACATGGATTGGTGAGCCTTACATGGAACGATCAACTTGCCGGAGACCCCAAAAGGCAAAATTGTGGGGGGAGGTTTTTTTTAAAAGTTAGCATGCTTGGCCGATGTGGTCCAATGGGAATGGACCCATTTTTTAGTATTAGCATCAGACAATTTGTTTTAAATCTGGCTCTATGATTTTCCCCCTCCCCAAGACCAGTTTGAAACGGGTTTGTTTGGTTGACTAGGCGATGCCCCTGGTGTATATAAAAAGCCTTTTTTTAATCCAACTTGAGCATTTATGTTTTACTGTAGCTTCAAAGTTTACTAAAAATAGGTTTATATTCGGAGTTGAAGTAACTTGCATGCAAGAGCCCGATCCTCATGATTGGAATCCAGAGTGAACAGAAAAGCGCGGGCAGGGAACGGGGGGGGGGAACCCGGCCCCGTGAGGAAAGCTGGAATGATGGGAGCTCGCTGGAGGGAACAGCGTTCCCGAACGAAACGTTAGAAGAACCCGGGCAGTGGCGGGAAAATGGTGGTTGGAGACTAAGGGCGTGGGCGGGCACTCACTCGTCTCTCTCCTCTAGCCAGCCATCTCGTCTTTGTGCTTCAGGCCCTTCGACGCCTGTTTTTTTGTTTTTGTTATTTTTTTTGGTTTTTTTCTTCCCTCGCTTCCTCGGCTCTTGCCCGCCATAGCTACAACCTCTCCCGAGGAGGCTATGAGCGGGGTTCTCCGAGATTGTTCACTTCTGTTATTGCTTAAGACTCGGTCCCTGCCCCTTTCCATCTTCCGGCGCCCATCGTTCTGGCCTCCTCTTTCTGTTGATAGCGTTCTCTGTTGTTCGTTGTCTCCTTTCGAACCGGCGTCTCCTATTGTAAGCCTCTCATTAGGGCGGTGTAACTTAAACTTCGAATAGGTGAGTGATGTGATTACGCATTGCGCCGTAAGTTTCACATTCATCCCTCGCTGGTCGTCGTCAGTGGCTTTAATGCCAGGTGTGGATTTAGCCTTCGATTTTTTCGGTTTAGTTTTTTTGATTTGTGGAGGAGGAGGAGGAGTTTGTAATTGCGAGTCTGTTGTCGTCTCATGGTTTCGGTTAGTGTCCGATTGCTTGCCGGGCATCGTCTGTTCATTCATTCACAAGTCTTTCTATTGTGGCTTGAGCGGCAAGCGCCGCGGGTGTTTATATCTGGTTTCATGGTTTGACTGCTGTTGTCGACGGTACTTGTTGTGCGCTGTTTGTCGGGTTCTTCGCCCCCAGGGTCTAGGTTTGTCACTTGTGCTACATGTTCGGCGTTTGTGTTGATGCTTTGCGAAGTTTGAAATATGCTAAAGCTGTGTTAGAGGTTAGAATCCTCGGGTCCAAGAGTTGAAGTTCCTCTGCCAATGACTCAGGAGGTTCCTGTTGCTCTCTCTTGATTATGTTCTTTGGTTTGTTTACACCCCAACTCTCGACCTTCCCGGTGTTCTTTCTCCATATTAGGCAGTTATTACGCTAGTTGCAGTGTTGTGCCTTGTTCGCCTCTTGCGCAACCGAGCTTGCCTGTGCACTCACATTCTGAGTGTATTATATTTGATGATATCATTGTAGCTGTTGTGGATTTGTTCGAATTACTGCGAAGTGAAGTACTGCTGTCGTCGTTACGAACACTCACGGAGTTTTTGGTGTTAGAGAGCTTAGCCGTTGTCGCAGGTGCTCCTCTGTTATGCTCGATCTCCCTGTCCTGTACCAAGTCACAGTTGTTAGCCTTAGTTCGTGAAAGTGGCTCTGTTTGGTTTTGCCCCTTCAAATCGTCCCAACTTCAGCGATGTGCATTGAAGTTTGGAGCAAAGAGACGTGCACCAACTCTATTTTTTGGCTGCGCGGTCTAGATTAAGCTTATTGTGTTACATCTAGAGGGCGGTGGGTGTTGGCGAAAGTTGAAATGGGAGCGTCTGGATATCTCTGTTGTTGCTCAAAGGTTCACATATGGAAGATGGTTATCTTTAGCTGTGAGGACGCTTTAAACTTTCATGTCAACGTTGTCTTGCATCTGCAGTCTCGCAATTCGGTTTGGTATGCATCCGAATGTTGCTTATTCATCGCTCTTGCAAGATTTGTGATTCGTGAATTGTGAACTTTCCTCAATTCAACGCTTGTGTTTCACCGTATTGAGAGAATGCCAGTGCCAATGCTGACTATCTGTTAGTATTGAGAATACTCCGCAGTCGAGATCATGAAGGCATGGCATTTACTGTCCACTTTCGATCAAGTGGACCATCTCATCGCTTCCACCGCAGCATTTGATTTGTTCAATACTTTTCCTGTCATGTTTAACCAAAGATAGTTTAGTATGGTCATTTTGTTTTATGTTCACACGGTCTTACCAACTGACTCTGAGGTTATAAGATTAATGACTTTTCGATGGTGGTAGCGTAGTGTGGTGGCCGGTGAAGCTATAATAGAGCAGCGTAGACATTGTAAACACGAATTCACTATGGTACCCTGAACGAGGATGTCTCAATTAGTCGCGCTCGCGTCCCTGGATATGGCATACTTTCCTGATCGTGTTTAGGAGGTAGGCATGCTGCACTACGCTGTTTCAGAGGTTTGATGTTCTTCGATGCGTCTTGGCAGGACCGCGCTCAGGACGCTACTGACTCACGTGAGCAGAAGAAGCTTTCTTTTGGAGCATGGGGAAATGAGCACCCGATTGGTTATCGTGGGTACAGTGGTATGATATCCCGCTTTATTTATCAAAGTCATGCGTGCTCTGGAAATGGAGCGTGCGGGACCTGTTCTTAGGGAGGTCAAAGTGAGATGCCTTAGGCAAAGCTCCTTGATATCGGAGGGTTCAAAAAAGACAGGGATTACTGTTCCACAGATAATTTGCAAACAAGAGCCTTTAGACGGCAATGTGGAAAGTGGTTACGAGACTCCAACAAAGTCAAGTGGACCTGGATCAGGAGACAGGACTTCTAATGATGGCGATGTTAAGCCAGGGAAGAAGGTTTGGTCACCAGTATATCTGGGAGGATTGGAGGGTCGGTTTCGGGAATACTGCGAGGTATTGTCTTATCTGTTAGCCTTGACAATCACGTGGAGAAATTATTGTAGTTTTCAGTTTTAAACATAGAGGCAAATAGCCGTATCATAGGCAACTGCACTGAATGCCATCTGTAGCCACTTGTTCAGCATTGGAAGTTGGTCTGTGGTACAGGTTGGCCTCTGCTTGGACCTCCAGACGTCGAAGGAAGCTATGCATTTATTCAAAGAGAGCAAGTCTTTGCTCATCGCGAATGCTGATAGCTTAGGGACTGGCACGGTAAGAGGGTTTGATCTGCACAATGCGAGCCTTGCTTGTATCCCATTACAATCATTTCCAAGTTACTGCTCCCTTTCACTGCACGATTGTGCCGTGTTTAAACTGATTTCGTGTTGGTCGATTATGCGTCTCAAATTATACTGCTGCTTTACCCGATTGGATTTAGTTTAATGCCGAAGGCAACAATGGACGTTTGTCACCAGGTAGAGGAGACGGAGCGTTTGTGGGGTGCCTGCGTGCTGTATGTTGTTAAAGCTTTCAGATGTGGAGCCGCTGTTGGCGGGGATAAATCAGAAAGTAATGCAGTGGGGTTTACGCTGTCTCAGCTGATGCGCCTGACTAAAATCAGGCACGGCTGACCATCCTTAACGTATTCTTCATATTCTGTTACCGTGTGCATTCATAAGAATCGCATTTTGCGATACAGCTACTGTCCCTTGGATCTCATCTGCTTTGGTTGACTAGTACTGACATGTATTGGCATGGCAGTGTGGTGGAGTTTTTTAAGGAGCTTCCACATTTTCTCATGAAAGTTGGACCGATTGTGAAGCAAATGTACGGAGACGAGTGGGAGAAGCGGCTGCAGGTTTGCCATGTCGCCCTTAACTTTGAGATTCTCTTCGAAGAGCTAAGCTCTTATTGTTCATGGGGGCGTTGGCCATCCACACTGTGGGACCTTCTCTTATTTAACCTGTTCCTTATGGTGCGCTGAGCTTTTATCTTTGTGGTTTTGTACAGGTCAAGGAAGTTCAAGCTAATTTTGTGCATTTGACAGCTCTTTTCACGTAAGGTCGCTTTGTTATCTGTCTTGTTCCTCAACTTCTGCGATCTGGTAAGGTTGGTTTGTGCTCGTGTTTGTGGAATCGAATGTAGCTTAACCTCTATTTTTGGGATTTTGTAGATATTATAAGCGAGTTTACCAAGATTTTTTCTTATCACCAGACACTTTTTCGAACATTGTCAGCCGTTCTTTATCAGGAGTTACAGATGATCATCATGTATCTATCCACATGCAATTTGGGTGGATGCTTTTCTTGGCATTGCGGATGCATGTTATTCAGCAATTCAGTGACCTGGTCACTTGCACCAATGCCTTGTTGGCAGTCATGGTTAGTGCTTGTTGACGATGAACACGCACAAAAGACTAACAATGATTTATTGTTATTTCGTATTTATGGAATTGGATCAGTCTACTTTGTATTTCTGTTTTTGAGGGGTAGTCCAAAAGCTTTACGCAGTGCTGAGCAGGAGAGAAAGATTTATTTGTTTTGCATTATAACCTGAATGTGTTTGATTTCCCAGGTCATTTTGATCCTTCACATGCCTCCTGACTTACGGAAGTTTTCACTTCAAGACCCAGTAAGATTCGGTAAGATAAATGGTTAGACTACTCCTGAGTGGAATGTCACATCATTGCTCTTGTTGTTTTTCCAATAATTTGTCGCTATCACATTTATTCTTTCCCCGTTTCCGCCCCGTGCCCCCTCCTCCCTCTCCCCATCGTTTTTAATAAAAAGAGGATTCGTCCACTTTTTCAAAAAGTACATTAATCAGCTATTCGTGCGCAGCCATAAGTTGTAGTTGCTCTTTCCCTACCTAATTGCATTTCTTTTTCTATCACTCGTTTTTTTTTTGCACATTTTAGCATTCTAAGCTTGTGAGTTATTTGGTGACGCAGCCAAAAGATCCTCCGAAGGAATTCATCTTGTAGCATCCTTGTGCGCCACATACTATGCAGCAGATGAAGACGTCTTAAACCTTCTGGAGAAAGCCAATGCCACAATAAGCAAATTATTTGGAAAGTCTATGAAAGATCTCCACGGGCTTCAAACTTCGGAGCATTTTTTGGGAATCAATCTAGGTTAGCATTCAACTCTAATCTCTAAGCACTGAAGTCGTTTCAGTTTTGCATATACGGCCAGAGTTGATGTCTTTTTGCGGTTGGCAAAGATTACCGAGATTGCCCCGGCAATCAAACGTGACATTCATTGTTAACGAGTTCTGCAGGTACTTCAACTTGAATATTTGATTGTGGGAGCGTTTTGTGTCTTGAATATCTCAGGTTGTGTCCTCGAATGATTTGTAATTATGAAGGTTGGCAAAGTCTACTTATAAGTCTAGTAGACTGTGGAACTGTAGTGTGTTGTTGATTGCATACTTCTTTGGGAATATATACACATGGAGATCAGATTTCAGAGATCTATGTGTGTGGTTATGATTAGGTGGACTATCATACTTGGAGGGGTTCATGGACAACAAGTCTCTTGCATCTAACTTGCGCGTCTTAGAGAAGGATTACGAAGATGCATACCAAAGTCGAGGTGGGCTTGATGAACGAATGTTCATTAATGGAGAATATGGTTTGTTGGGAACGTTGTCAAATGAATCGCCACGCTACACTGGCTCTAAGGTAATTCTCTCAGTCAATTCATTGTGTGTTCACGAAAAGCTCTGTATCTTTCAATTACTAAGACGATGATGCATTCGTTGAATGCATCATCATCTGTGTTTTGCAAATCCATGTGGGTTACTGTTTCTGATTTGAAGTACAGGAGCTGCTGAATAATGTGACTAACATAGCTAAGCCTGCATTATGAGACAGTCCAATTATAAATCCCTGTTCACTGATATTTGTGTACATCAGCGTAAGTTCGACATCATGGCGTCGCCTGTGCGGTTTGGGGCTTTCTCAATGGGAGCAGCACCATCATCACCAGCTGCCTCGCCCTGGCCATCTCCAGTGAAACATATGAGTACTCAAGGCTCTAGTGGTGGCAAGAGACCCCCATCCACTCCTGTTACTGTCACAATGACAACTGCAAAGTGGCTGCGAACTGTGATAACTCCATTGGCTTCAGAGCCATCTGAAGAGCTGCAGTTGTTTTTTCGTTCATGTGATCGCGACATCTCTGCCGATGTAAAGAACAGAGCGCATGTTTTGTTAGAACTGATATTTTCGGTGGAGAGGAGAGGAAGCTGGCAGAATGTAGCTGGGTTTATGGACACTATTTGGGCTGAGCAGCGTAAACTGGAGGCTGTCAAGTTATACTACAAAGTTCTGGGAGCTATGTGTCGCTCTGAAGAACAAAGGCTGCATACGAAGAACCTGAGTTCTCTCCTTTCAAATGAACGTTTTCATCGATGCATGATTGCCTGCTCTGCGGAGCTTGTTCTTGCTACCCACAAAACAGTTACGATGGGTTTTCCTGCAGTTTTGGATCCCGCTGGTATAACCGCGTTTGATCTAAGTAAAGTGATTGAATACTTTGTCAGGCATGAGGATACTTTACCTCGCGAGCTTAAAAGGCATCTCAATACAATAGAGGAAAGGATTCTTGAGAGCATGGCGTGGGGGAAAGGATCATCTATGTACAATTCTCTTATAGTTGCTAGACCCTCTCTGGCAAATGAGATCAATCGGTTGTGTTTGCTGGCGGATCCAATGCCAGCATTAGAGAACGTAGGTTCGCAAATAAGGCTATCTACTGATACTGTGCATCGCGCTCTCGTAATCACAAAACCGGATCATGCAGGTGCAATAACAATCTCCTTGGTACTTTATCTCATGTGAATATACTAGAGCATCTTGCACAGCTCAAAGGATTGAGCTTGCACGGGCTGTGTCATCCTGACTGACAGATGACATGTGATATTGTCATGTCTGACGTTGTAATAAGACATTTGTGAACTCGTTTCAGGCTATGTGGAATGTCCTGCACTCGCACCTTCAAGTGCATCATCACCACCTCAAAGTGGGTCTTCAACATCAGAAACAGGTTTCCTGTCACCTGCCAAAGACCGTCCCTCAGCATTTTCTGCCTTCAGTTCTCCCATGAGGAGTCGTCTTCGAGCCCCGTTGCAATCAGCGTTTGCTAGGTATATGATTGTCTTTTGATGCTTTTGCTTTTGCTTCTGGTTTCCCTTCATACCAGTGGGTAAATACAATGTGATGTGGTTATGTATGGACTGCTTCCCTGCAAATCTCTTCTTGAAGCACCTTTCCGTAATCGCTGTATTTGAAGACATTGTGTCCATGTTGTAACGTCTTCCTTGTCAATCTCGCAGCCCACAGAGACCAAGCCCATTAGGTGGAGGAGAGACTTGTGCGGACACAGTCATCAATGTGTTCTTCCAAAAGGTAATGTCAAGAGTAGGATGTAAATAGCACACAAGGTTCCTTCAGCGTCTGGGTCTTGAATTGAATCCTTTGTCTTTGTCTTTGTTTGGTTTTGTTTTCTCGTTTTTCTCACCTTCTCGTTGACTTGCAATCGCAAGGTCCTGAAGCTTTGATTGATGGAGCATCAGAATCCAAGTGTCTTGCATAGTTCTTATCTTGGGAGTTCAAGAGACTGCACGAATAAGATTTGGCTGAACAATATTTTCTTGTGAGCAGGCTCTTGTGTTGGCAGGAGTGAGGATACGGACTGTGTGCGAACGTATTGGGCAACCACAACACCTGATTGAGCGAGTATACAAGGTGTTCCAACACACACTGCATCATGAAACAAGTCTTTTCTTCAACCGTCATATAGATCAACTGGTTTTGTGCACAATCTACGGCGTCTGCAAGGTAAGCCTTTCATCGGATCGTCTTTCTTCTTATTTTCGCAATTGATGCTTAGTTACGCTGTTCTGGAATCATAGCTCGCATGTTTAATAAGGGGTTTGCAACCATGAGAATGACGTGCTGGATAACTCTGCAGGTTAGCAAAGTTGAGGTCAAGTTCCGTGACATCATTCATCATTATCGATCACAGCCACAAAACAAGCTGCATGTCGTCCGCAATGTCTTCATAGATCAGCCTCCATTGCGTCGTGCTGGGGTATATGTTTCCAGCCTTAAGTGAACAACCTTCGTTCTCTCTTTACGCCTGCTGGAAGAATCGAGGGTTTTGATTATGGAGGTTAGGAAGTTTTGCAGTGTGCAATCCAAATCTGGAATTTATACGCTCTAATAATAGTAGTTGCATGATGCGTCATCGAATAATAGTTTGCTGATAGTCTTCCTTATGTGCACTTGCAGAAAACAGGAGGGCTAGAATCAGGTGATATCATCAAGTTCTACAACGATGTATTTGTACATGCTACCAAGAAGTTTTTAGTGCAGGTTGACACCAACTCTGGTGTGCGTTCGCCTAGAAAAATTCATGGTCCAGATGGAGAGGATGGTAAGATAACCAAGCTGTCAAAAATTGAAATTGAATCGTTAACATTTGTAATTGCATCTTCCACATCAGTCGGGTTACCTTGCTGGTTTCTATGTATGGCGCCAACAGATTCGGCCTGATTCAACTTACGATAATTCCAATCTTATGTGTATGTGCCAGGTGAGGCTCCAGGTTCTCCTGTAGCTTCGGTCTTCTCATCATTCCCAGACATCTCTCCGAAGAAGGTTTCGGCTTTGCACAACGTTTTTGTATCCCCTCTTAGATCGAGCAAGGTACACAAAGCACACATGAGTCCTAATTTCATCTTTACAGAATCTTAACGATCCTGTGGATGAAGGAAAGTGTCTTCATGAGTACTTAAGCAACTGACTTTCGTTGGCATATTCGTGCTTGCAGGTTGAAAAGTTGATGTCTCCACGTACTAGAACCCTTTATGCCTGTGTGGGGGAGAGTACCAGAGATTATCAGAGTCCTTCCAAGGATTTGACTGCTATCAATAACCGACTCAACAACAAAAGGTTCATCGCTAATGGTAATCACTTCTATCCTTGTTCAAGGCTGGTTACAAATCAACCTTGAGAAATCATCCTACTGCTTTACTTTAAGGGCTGGCTCTTGGTACCAATTTTCTTGAATATGCTCGACGTGAATGACATGGGTTGTCTGCTCATGCCGTCTGTAGGAAATCAAGTCACTACTTATTCCTTCCAAATTGAAAGAAAACTTATTTCACCTAATTTGAATGTTGATATGGTTGTTAAGCTGAGAGCTGTGCCTCGCTCAAAATATTTTTAATTGTCTGATTGTTGCAGGCGATCTAGCTGGTTGGACTTTAAAGACAAACCCACAGTGAGTGGCTCGATTATTTAGTATTCGCCTCGTCTCTGCAACTTTATATCAAACGCTCTCTTTCAGACAAGTAGAGAATTGCCAATGGGTTGCCTGCTTTAGCAAATTGTGAAACATTAGTCCTGAAACCACAACCTGTAGAGTATTTGTCACTCATAGTAGTTGTACAACATTTTTATAACAGGACACAGCCTAGGTAAATGTTGTAGGAATTAGATGCAGATAATAGACAAGATCCCCCGCCTCCCCCCTTTTTTTTTGTTCTTCCTATTGATTGTTTTAGCTCGCAATCATTGGTGTGCCCGCTGTTGCTGTATGCTGGTCACAGAGCAGAAAAATGCTCAAACGTAGCGATTAGTGTGGTCTGTGGCGAGATCTTTGCACTGTCCTCTTGTGCCATATTAGTTACACAAATCAGTCTTGACGTGTACACATGAAAGCAGGGGTCCCCTGCGTACCCTTTTAAACCTTAATGAAATAATGATCACTTCCTCAAGCTGGTGTGATCATGTTTTATCCGTCACTTGGTTCATCCATTGTTGTGGATGCTCTCATGTGACAGAGTTCCTCTCTGCTCATTCTATCATCATCATTGGGAAGCTTTGTCAGAATACGTGTACAGTTGGGTGGTCCAGACTGTCATCTTGCAGTTGCTTCGGGTAACATTCGTCTCAAAGCCCCGCTACGTTTAAAGAATCATCTGAATGCTGAATGCTGAATGCAGTCATCATGTAGGTTTTAGTGTTAGGAGCTTTTTGGGGCGCGTACTTCACACCCCGTGAGCTGGTGAGAAGCGAGTCCCCACTGCTGCGCAACAGCATATCTTCTGACGAGGGAACAGATCGTTGCATGTTTACGTGACAAATCACTTGGAAGCACGCACGGGTAAATATTTTGAGTCGACAATTGATTGGCGAATTGGATCCTCCCATTTACATTGGTAGTTGGGGTAAGCCATTGGGAACTCGAGAGTATGGGAATGGGCGAGGCAAGCCAGCAGTTAGACACGCATCAACTGAATCAAGTCATTAAGGTTTCAATCCGTAGATCAGTGACTGGGATTATTTTTTTATGCGAGTAAAAACGATAATTAGTTCGATGTAGATAATTGGTTTATTAAATTGAAAATATTGATTACTGGTCGGTTCATTTTGAAATCCCTTCCCAAATTTACTATATTTCATTAGTATGAAGATCGATTGGTTGGTTAACACATAATTTGGATATTTTGTTGTGGAGATTGTGCAAATCAACAGTTTGTAATCACAGCTCAAATTATATAATCCATAAATAGAGTCTAGTTTTTGAACATCGTCGTGAACATGGACATCGTTTCAAAACCTAATTACAATGGGTTTTGGATATCATGTTATTAAAAATATTTTTAAGTAACTGCATCACATCTTAGCTAGAGCTGTATAACCAATGACTAAAATCTTCAATCTGTACATGCTGCATGTTATGTGTATTCTAATTTTGGATTGTATATGTATACATGTATACTTTTATGAAAGAGGCATTCAAATCAGCCAATTAGCAAAAAAAATTATCAGGTAGTGGCAACAAATCCACCATAAAAAGCTATAAAATTGAGCATCCTTTTGCAGGGACTAGAGCCTGATTCCACAATTCTTCATTTCAGTTGAGAATGCTTGGTAAAGAAGCTTCCTCAGTAGTAGTAAACACAAGAGCAGAGCAGACTTTTGAACCCATTCTTGCAGAAGAACCCTGAATTTTGGAGCAACAATGCAAGAAATGTTAAGAAATTACTCTTCATGGGATCACACCCTCTCATTTAATTGTTTATTACCTCCCCCTTTCTTCCCACTCATGATCTTGATGTGCATTGTATTATTATTGTACAGCCATTTTGTCATGCACTTGTCATATTCCAAGGGAGCTCAAATTAATATTCCAACATAGAATTGGAGTGCTCCTTTGCAATGCATACCTATGTGTGGGTTTCATCATTTTGTGTCAATGATGAATCACAAATGCATTTCAAATCACATCTCATAGAAAAGTAGTCCATGATGTCTGAATCAATAGTTGGTTGGATATGGACAACTGAGTTGTTGGAAAATTTGCAGGCCTTGAGTGGAGTTGTGTGAAATGTGGAATCATCAAATTCTCTGGGCGTTTTGGAATTTATGTCTCTGTTTCTTTGTCTCTACACCATGTTATTGAATGTTCACTTGATTTAAATTATGACTGTATCAGTGCAAAATCAGTGCATTCTGGAATACTAGTAAAACTTCATTTTTGTGAAATATTCCAACACACTTGTAATGTATAAATGATGTAAATGTAAATCATATGCAGTTTTTCAATGTGAATTCAAAAAGGTATTTTTCCAAATGTGAAAATATTGTGATATGATTCTAAAATTCAACTCTTACTTGGAAGAGTACTCATTCATTTTTATTTTTTAAATATCAAACATTGGATTAATAATGTAAAGATTTAGTAATTATATAAACTGTTGTATATTTTGTTGAACAACACATTTGAGATATGTATATTTGGCACAGATGTAGACCATAAGAAAGCATCATCCATTGTGAAACCATATTTACATTAATATAACAACTTGTAATAATAACTACAAGGAAGATTAAACAATCCGACAATTCTTTTTAAGGTTAAATCAATATAAAATTACTTTAGTCATTTTAAGTTGTATTGCTTACACTTGGATATGTTATTGAAACCATTCTGCATAGGTATTTACTTGTCAAGGTAAGTAAATCTTAATAAGTAGTATCTACTCATTAAATATATTTTTTCTTTTTCTTTTTTGGTATTGGAGAATTTTGAAAAAATGATTTTCAAAATCATGTTTCATGAAAAGTGTGTGTGTGTGTGTGTGTGTATATATATATATATATATATATAGAGAGAGAGTTGTTAAATTGACACAAGCATTTACTAAAATGGATCTACTCATTCTAACCATCATCAAAAAGATTTCCATCATTGGATTTGCATTGGTTGAAAATCAATGAAAAAATGATTGGATCCTCAACCAATGATGTTTGGTGAGTCAATTTAGTAAATGCTTGGGTCAATTCAACAATTCCCTATATATATATATATATATATATTAATATATACATACATACATTATTTTTATCATGTTTAAAAATTTAAAGTAAAGAAGAAGAAAAATACATGTATATATATATATATATATATATATCTATATAGTTGAAGTAGGGGAAACAATGACAATAAATTGTGGGAGGCAAACACAAGCCACCAACATTATGAAATGTGTATTCAAATGGTACATTACAACTATGTGCCCATTTTAAACATTATACTCAACGAAGATCCTAGTGCCACGAGAACATCCAAATATTTCTCATTCTAAAACAATCAAAGTAAAAGGTAGAAAGGAAAGACGAAGAAAGTACATCATAAGAACGAAAGTGGGGGGTGCATAGAAATTCCATGGTGGTGGGAAAAAGGACATTATTCAACCCTGCTGACAGGGATGCTTTGGTGCCAGGCTCCTTTGCTGTGACTGATTCCCGAGGCGAGGCCATCCTGTCCTCTGCTCAGGGGGCATGTGCCACCGCCACCACATCCCGGGCGCGGGCCGGGCCGGGTGAGTATCCCTCCCCCCCCCCCCCGTCCCATCATCCCCCTGTCACTGACCCTTTCGCAGTTTGAGTTAATTCGATGGACTCCTTTGAATGCAAATGAGTTTGAAGCGGAGTTCGTTGGCTTAAGTTGCGTCCAATCAATAAACCACAATAAAATATAAATATAAATAAATTATATTTGTCTACGTAGTAACTCTTTGTACATTATTTTGTGTTGCGGAAACGTTCATGCATTTGTTGCAATTTCTCATTCCTTTCTCTAGCTCCATCCTCACTATACTGTATCAGTATTTCTACTGTTTGTTTGTTTGTTTCGTTACGTTTTGTTTTGTTTTGCTGTGTTTTCCCCCACCAAACCTGATTCTAGATTTCCACTTTCTAGGGTTTTTCTGGTACGAGGATGAAGAAGCCCAAATTTGTTGCCCAGCCCCCCCCCCAAATCCCCCTTTGGGATGAATGATCCCTCCCGTGCCGGTATGGATGGATGGATGAAGACGTTGACACGTGTATCAGTGACGTCACGACCCTCCTGTGCTGATGCTGTCAGAAACCGACGTACTCGTTTTCATCTACTTTTGTGGGGAGCCCTATTCACACAGCGGAGACTCATTCCCCATCTTGGGTCCTGTTCCCACCGTGAACAGTGCCTACAGCATTTGAGAAAACACCGCCAAAGTCGTGATAGAATCGAAAAAGGTAAAAGGTTGAAAAGTATTAGTAGGAGGGGGAAAAGTAAAAGGGGGACTCAGGAGGCATGAGAGAGAGCTAGGTTGAGACTCGTCCATCATCGCCTTCATTCCCATCTTGGCCAAGAGACTTTTTTGCTATCTTGCTTCTTGCCTCCTTATTTATTTATTTATTTATTTATTTATTAATTCTTCTTCTTCTTCTTCTTCTTCTCTTTATGTTTTTTTTCTGTTTTTCCTACCTTTATATTTTCTCTTTTCTTTTCCTTCTACCTTTTAAATAATGAAATTAAAAAAATAAAAAATAAAAATTCAAGAGCAAGAAATGCATGAAACTTGGGTTTCTAGTCTTAGAAGACCTTGCACTTATGAACTGCACACTAAAGTTGTGGGTGCTGACCAGGTGAAAAAAGAAATAAAAAGGAAGGGGGATAAAACGAAAAAGCAATCATTTGGCATTTATTTCAAACTTCAACACACATTAATATATATGTATTATAATGAATTTTCTAAAATTATGTGCTTGACATGAAAGGTAAAATCAGAAAATATGCGAAATAAATACAGAAATATAAATTAATAGTTGTTGTAATTTCTATTATTACTTTGTTATTTTTAATGTTTATAGACATCAATAGAAAACGTCAGAACCAAGAGGTTGTTAAAGAATCTTATTTTTGTTATCAGTACCTTATATAAAAAATAAACTATGTTTGTGGAAGATTGGTACTGGTTTTATATTATGCAAATTTGATTGAAATTTAATGGAATTTTGGACAATAGGATGATAAAGACGACAACATGTAAGGTATCTCATGGTTGTGCTGTGAGAATCACAATCAATCTACATTGCCAATTATTTATTTTTCTATAATATGATTATATTGGTAATGAAAAAGTTATAAAATTATTTTGGGCTAATTATTCTTATTTGCTAAAAGATTATTTTTATAAAATAAAACTTGATAACTATATTATGAATCGGTTTTTGTTTTTGTTTTTGTAATCTAATTGTTATAGATATCAATCTAGGCATGATTTTGAAAAGACAACCATGTATTAACAAGGAGGAATAGAAAATAAAAAAGATAAAAATTTAAGATAGAAATAAGTTAAAATATTTGTTATTAAGTACAAAAAAACCAAATAAACTTAAATAAATATTTAGATATAAAAAATATATTGATAAGATTAAAGATGATTTTAATCAACATGTTTTTTACTATCTTCATTATTGTAAATTGATAAGATTAAAGATGATTTTAATGAAGATACTATTTACTCAACATGTTTCTATCTATTTCTACTAACATCTATCAATTGAGACAATATAAATATTTATTACCCTAATACATCTTTATTTATTTATTTTGATTTACTAATGCAACTATAATTATAGCTAGTGATATTTAACAAAAATTAATAAATTTCACAATTGATCTTTTTCCATCTAAGATATTTTATTATTTTGATAAATTTAACATCTATTGTAACAAAAAAGAGTTGTACATTTTAAATTTGATATTACAGCAACCAAAATTATCATCCATTAACAATTAATAATTAATTTAAATCATTTTCATAATAAAAAAAATTTTCCATCAGAATCCAATTCTAATAAATATTATAGAAATAAAATTTATTTGTATTTCTATCTTTTTATATAAATACACCACAATTCATTTTTTTGACATTTGTTTTAATACATCATACATATTTTCTTTGAATTTGACCAATATTTGAATATGACCAATTCTCTACACCAATAGATAATATACACTAAAAAAGAAAAAGGAAGTGATATGAATATTTTTTCTTAATAAATGAGAACATATAATATCCTCTGTTAGTATAATGTACTTTCCTGATCTTAAAAAGATGGTCTTATACGAAAATTATTTTACTTAAGCAAAAAACTTACACACATGGAATAATTTATATGAAATTTTAAAAGAAGATGTGTCTGTATTTTTTAATATACATAAATAGAATCGAATTCAAATAAAAATACCCAGTAGATTTTATTTTTATTTTAACATATTTTATAAATTTTTTTGCTCATGTGTATGTTTCTCTTTTCTTTTCATTTCTTTTCCAATTATATGAGTACAAACCATGCTTTCTGCAACCAATATAAATGCCTACGACAAATCCCACAACATACTCTACCAACACAACAGTACGCATCAAATCATGTAAATGGAAAGGAGGAAACAACAAATATCGGGAAAAAGCACCAGAATGAACAAGAAACCATTTGATAAGGAGGAATATTAACTATACCCACATCAAGTATATGTCGATGAAGATTTTCAGAGAGTGCTCCAATGTTAACTCGAAATTCAAAAATAGAAAAAATCAAGTCTTGGGATGAATTTCCAACTCACTTCTAATCAACCAAAATCCTCCAAAAAAAAAAAAAAAAAAAAAAAAAAAAACCACCAAAATCCTCCAAAAAAACCAAAAACCGATCTATCAAGCATCCACAGACAAACTTGGGGGAATGGCCGCCAGGTGCCGCTAACGGACGCTACCTACTGCGTGCTACCGCGACATGACATGTCGAACGTGCACTGCATCGCACGATGATGCGGGATTCACAGTAAGTATCGCCGCTCAGATTCCTCCAGGCCTTCCTTCACCGCATTGTGAATTTTTACCTTCCGAATCGGAGCCTTCTAAGTCTACAAGTCAACTGCGCAGTTACTGTCCCGGTTATCGATCCATCGTTGCAGAGCTCGCGGCGGAGGCTAGTGGCCGTCAATCTTCTCGACAGGTCCGATCGCGCGTCGTTCAGTTCAGAAATCAGAGTCGGGGTACTGATTCTGGGGCTACACGGCTGCGCTGGGGCCACAGGATCTGTTTCTGATGGCGATGGGCAGGGATCTGCACGGTGGCAGGGATGGTGTCAGAAAGGGGTGTGATCGGCTCGGGTTGTGTGTCCGGATGCCCCGGCATCATTTCTCGGCATGTGAAGTCAATCCAGCGGTTGGATGTTGGCTTATGGTTACCACTGACGCGGTTGCGTAGTTGTTAACTGCTGTACATCGAGCTTGCTGCAGTCGTCGGAGGGAGATAATCGGATCTGGAGCACGCTGTAACTCTTGTTCCGTGGGTTCTTTTTTGGAAGGAGATCCTGATCGTCTACGATCTCGAGTGCAATTTCCTTCATCGGTGGTGTCTGCAGGGAGTGTCTGCAGGGTGTGTCGGTGTTGAGCGTAGTACCTAGTAGTTGACGTGGATCGGACGATTCGATTGGGTGTTTCCTGTTGTTTGCCAAGATGGTTGAAGCTTGATGAAGCATGAGAGAGCTCGTCGAAGGTTTGTGTGTTCGATCGTCGATGAAGTGCCGGGGACAGTGAAGAGGTTTACGAGTGGTATGAAGTGTGTCGGGTTGTTTCCGATAAGGTGAGGTTTAGTGAAGCGATTGTGTGTGCTATTTAAGGTTGAGAGAATGTTTGCGACTATGCACTGGCAGCAGGTTTTGGGTAGAATTGAGCTGCATTTCGGATTGAAGAAGCAGGGGTACGAATCAGGGGTACGAATAACGGGTGTTTGCGCGGAGTATTAAATGCTGTGCTGTGCGTGCTTGACCAGAGTAACGATTGGTTGTTGCTACCAGTTGCATCAATGGTGTTAGAATATATGTGTGAGAGCTTGTGTCATGATTAGGAGGAATAGCAGACAAACAACTTTACTTCATACATGAAGCTTCTCCTAATTTTGGGGCAGACTTGAGTGAACGGGTGGAGAAGGCGGTTCTTATCCTCAAGGGAAGTGAACCTTGTCTTGGCAAGGGAGCAATTTTCAGTTAGCGTGGACGTGAACTTCATAGCACGTATTTCGTGCATTCAAAGCAGAGAGCCTTTCTTTCTGTTGAGGGAAGATAGAGGACATCCGGGTGGTTTCTGAACCGGAATTTTCAGGGATCTTGAATGTGATTACACTGCAGTCTTTCCATTGAATTACATTGACTTGAGAAAAGCTGTCTCGCGATCTTCTGCTGTTGCCTGCGGTTGCATCGTCAAGAGTTGATTTGCAAAGCCACGGAATCGTATGCTTCCAAGTTCGGAATTTTTGAGTCGGCTTTTTCTGGAGACCTTTTGGGTCCATAACCGTCGGCTACATTGTTTGCTAGGCACTTAGAAGCTTATAGGTTACGTAGGTGGTGCAGGTAGAGGAGGATGGGTAATTGCCATGCGGTTGACCCCGTGTGCGCGACTGTGGAACATCCAAGCGGCAAAGTGGACAAAATTTATTTCTCGTCCTCAGCTCGGCAATTGATGCTACGTTATCCGGGGCATTATGTGGCGCTTTTACCGCCTCCACCGACGTCTCCTGCCGACGGTTCGACACCACATATGAAACGGAAGCTGAAGCTGCTTCCGCCCGATAGCATGTTGAATATTGGCTCCTGCTATAGACTGGTGTCGTTTGAAGGTTGGTTCTCAAACCCTTATCATGAAAAAGAGTAAAAGCACATTCATGTGGCATTAGCGCAGGAAAGTTCTAAAGCAAACGCCGTATAAAATTTGCCGTATTTCACCCTAATTATGAAAGGAAATCGACTTGAGAAGCTTATGGGGCTTTAGTTCTAATCCGAGAAAAGTTCTTGTAACAATTTTCTTAATTTTCCCTAGCTTTCTTTTATCAGGATCCCACTTCTTGGGAATTCTTCGTACAAGAGCCATTTTTTAATCGATCTAAGCTCATTCAAACTATGTTTATATTGATCTCACTTTGTATTGTAGACCTTCTTTCAGAAATGTCCGAAACCGGCGCCTTGGCGCATCAAACAAGCAGGAAGAGAAGTCCCCACTCAAGCACCACTGTCCGTAAACATCGACGTTCTCTCTGTGACGTAAGCTACTACACGAAAACTCAGGCTTGATTTTTGTATGTACGCAAATGCCTCCTAGCTACCAAACATTCATGCAATTCCTAACTAGAAAAAAAGACCCTCTCTTCATTGCAGCCTGTGCAAACTTTGATGGAGCAGTCGGATGTCAGCAGGTCTCCTACAAATCACATCAATAAGTTGCGAGGGATTTTATCGATGACATTTGCTTCTCAAAAGGTGCATCTTTGATAGAAAATGATTCACTGGGTGGATAGTTTTCAAGTTTTACGCTCCGTATAAGATTCGAATGATTAATGTGATTAACGAGGCGGGTGTTTCATTCTTTCAGGAAAACGGTGCCGCAGGCTTGATACTACCAGCCGCCCCAGATTCACCAACTTACTCGTTCACACAGTCGCCACCACAGCCCCTGCACTCAGTCCACCGAGGGGGAGCATGGCGGCCCAGCCTTCAAAGTATTGCTGAACGAGGTCGATGAGGGCCAGATCAGTGTGCTCTTTCGTACAAAGTTCTCCATCCCACGCATTCACGATGTTCTCGTGCATTGAGAACCTTGAACAACGTCACATTGCTCGTCGATTATGTGAGACGAGTGACCACCATCTCCCAGGGATTATCTGGGGGCAGTACATGATAGTTCCATGGGCATCTTCTGGCCGCGGAGATGGTTTTGTAAAAACAAACTGCTAACTGTGATTGTTTAACTCTACACTTCATTTTGTGTTGTTATTGGATCTTCGAAGCTTGCGACAACATGGGTTTTAAGAATTAGAAAACTAGAATCAGGTGGTGGAAGACTCATTTACTGGGTACTTATTATTTTTCAGCATTAATTTCCTCTTTCTGAACACTGAATCATAAATTTGTGAGCTTATTCTGCTCAAAGAGGCCTCTCACATTTCGCAGGGTTGACATCCGCTCCTGTAATATTTGTTGTTTATCCCCATTCTACTTAGTGAACTCCTTAAATCAACTCGTGTCTGCCTGAGTCTACATTTCAGTCACAAAACGTGCACTATTCATTGAATGACTGCATCTTGGTGGCATATGTGACACAACTAAATGACAGTACTCGCTTTACGAGTTGCTTAACATGCCCAAGCGAGGACCATATAGAGAAAACAGGGAAATAGTGACATGATACTACACCAGACTCAAGGAGTTATGGTGACAAACTGTGCAGCTCACACCAGAGAAAATAAAAGTAATTGCTACACGAGTATGCTTCAGTCCATTCTATCACCCATGTAATCATGAAAATAACTCTCTGAAATATCCTGGCCGCTAATTTTTACAAAGAGAATCTATCTACCGCACTTCGGGGACGTTTCTATTGCCTTCCAATTACAGTTTGTACTACTTGCTTCCCTTGAGGAGAGTCAAATGCGTTCATGGTGACACACAGTTTCTAGTGATTGAGCTAATCATTTGCGCATTATTTCAAAGATTCACCATGGAAGGATCCGGACAATAGGTACAACTCTGAAAATCTTCGCTGCAAGCCCAAAGTCTAGAGATGTCGGAACTTTACATGAGAGGTTATAGTGTGAGAGCCAGTCTCGTATTACGACCACAGTCGGAGCCAGCAGGGTAACAGTATGAGGTAAAATGAGTCCCTGATGTTCACGCATCCTCCACTCACTAACTCGTCCCCTGGACCTCCGACATGCAAATGGTAGTTCGATTCCAGCTCCCATGCAGCCGGCTTACCTTCTTGAGTTTGCTAGTTTTCCACGAACCTAAAGAAATCGAATTGCTTGTCATTGAGAGACAAGTGTCTGTCTGGCAAGTTTGTTATCTTTGCATTCTGCAAACTTGCAAGCATTACATTGAGCATAGTTTAACACTTGCAATTCCTCTAGTTCCTAATATGAAATGTTTGTTTCTAGAACTCTTCTCCCTTCAGAGGACCTTTTCTTTGCTTGCATGGATGCTATGAAACACCTCAAATTGCCAGAAATGAAATTGGAATCAGGAAGTTTTTGGGTAACTGAAAAGATAGGCCTTTGATGGGTTAGAGATTTATTTCGTTAAGAATTACCATGTTGTACTCATTGCATCCTGTTATTTCTCACTCTCAATAGTGGTGTTGCTGCAATGGGGTCTAATTCAGATTCAGTAATTCATATTCTTGGCTGCTCGCTTTCCACTTTTTCCGAGACTATTGTGATTTCTTCAAATTCTCATTTCAGTGGTTTTCCTTGTTATGCTGACAACAGCGTCAGAGAATCAATTGCTTTAACGGCACATAATACGTGTAGGATTAGGTTATTCTATGTCTCCACTTCAACAAGAGAAAATGAGACAAAATTGTAATTAGATTTAATTTCAACCATGTACTAAGAAAGATATTGAAATCAAAGAAGATAAAAAAATTAGAATAATTATTATTTACTTAAATTTTAAATAGTGTATTAGATGAGATGGTATCTCCCACCTAACCAATTCAATTGATTTAGCATAATGCTCGATTGGTTGGAAAGTGGTTCTAAGTTTAGATCCAAGAAGTATTGAAGGCACAAAGGCATTAGATCCAATTTTTCAAAAACTCTTCAATATAATTGATTCTTTTGGTTTTTATAGTATGATTGCTAGTTTAATAGTTTATATCTCTCAAAGAATATAGTGTACTAGATTTTTTTTAAATTAGAGTGGTATAGAGCAAAATAAGATGATTGATGGGATTAAAATATAAGATAGTAGTAACAACATCATTGCTTGTAAATTTGAGGCATGATCAAACATTTGTAATATAAAACATCCAATAAGTAGAGAAGGCTTAAATGCATTGTAGTACCACTTTTATAGTAGAACACAAAAATACTAAACAAAGAGAGGCCAATTAGGAGAATAATACTCTAAATTTATAAAAAATATTGATTGGAGTTTGATCCTCAAGAATTCAATACATTTAGAAATAAGAATATTGAAGGTGCATAATAAAAGATTCAAAAACTTTGGCTGCTATGTAAGTTCTAAACCAAGTGATAAAAATGCAATAAGTATAGGAGTATTGCATCAACATTATAAGATTGGTAGAAACCTTGCTTCAACAAAATAATATTACACTAAAAAATAATGATCTTTGAAACCACAAGGATTCAAATTCAAACTATAAATACTCTTAGTGTAGTATTTGAATTATTCTCCAAGGGAAGAAAATTTGATTAGAATATCTTCGAGCTCTTTCAAAAGCAAATATAAGATAGAAGATAGATATTAGAAGGGATAATACAAAAATACAACTCTTTCAGCCTCACATACAAACTAATTGAGAACAAAGATGTTGCCATATTTGTGAAAAGAGTCTCTAAATTTGTTTCAATTTCTTATAGATTATTATATTGATTCTATAGCATCCTTAAAATCAATTCTAAAGAATACATTATTCAATCTTTAATATATGAAGGAAATAAAATGCACACAATTTTCTACATTGGAAACACCTAAACTACTTAGCTTCATTGTCCTATACAAGCTTCAACTCAAATATCAACAAAAATTGGAACAACTTGGAGACTTCCTGGTTTTGGAACTAATTAAGAATCATAGCCTATGAATTAAATGCCTAACTACCTGAGCCAAGACAAGACTCTATTATTCATTCAAATGCGTAACCATGCTTGAAAACCACTATATTAAATTCCAATATAATTGTATAGATGGCATAAAACAAATCTTAATTATATATAGTTTTAAGATTAATAATAATAATAAAAAAAAATCTTTTAACTATGAATACCATAGTACAAATTTGATTCTATAACATTCTACAAAAAATTCAAAATGATTTTATAGGTATAAATCTTGAGACTTTAATACGTATTTAAAACCAAAGAATTTCTACAATACATCCTCTTCCAAAATTTTGATATTTTAATAATAGATAATAGTGAGTACTGTTGCTCAAAAATCTTTGGACCTTAAATGTGGATCTTCACAAAAAACATAGTTATATTATCCAAGTCTATAAAAATATGAAGATTAGACACAAAAGAGGATTTTAAACATGAACATATCCTTTTCTTTAATGGATTCACAATACAACTCAACTAATGTTGGCCATACAAATATAATACAATGGAGTGCTTCAACATCCCAAGACCTGCTAAAGAATATATAATTCATAAATAAAGTGAATAGAATATTCAAATAAAGACAATCATAGATTCCATCTTCATTAGTAGCAACTTGAGATCTAACTTTTATGGCATGCTATCCACTCTTGGCTCACACAAACAACAAAAAAGATACATTCTTTAATGAGATCAACAGTCATAAGATTTGCTTAGCAATCCATAAAGTAAAATTCTTGGAATGTAGTCCTGACCTCCTTCCATAAAAAAACCATAGAATACAATATATCACACATTTACACCTTATTCTAAAAAATACTCAATTAGTATGTGCATATTTAAAGAAATAAATTCTTACGAGTTGTGGTACCAATCATTATCAACAAAAACAAAGATGGTTCATATGCAATACTATTATCCATTTATAAATTAGCTCTTTAATCTTCTTCTGCTTGTCAAATCACCTAAACAAGACAACTTAGATCTATGAAAATACAAACAACCACCTGGTGAATAAAACAATGCTATAATTCCAAATCAAAATTATTTTAAAAAACAAATACAAGAGTCTATTATGTAAGTAGGATGCTACATGCTAGATATACAAATGGCTCCAACCTTTAAAAAAGTCATTCTTCTATATACTTGTAGTTGTCATTAACTACAATGACATAATATTCTCTCTCAAAACATATCATAGTTACATTTGACACACTATTCTAGACTATATCCAAAGACAAATTCTCCCATTATTACTCCTTAAAGATAAGGCATGGAAAATTAATAACAAAAAAAGACAATTCTTCTTCGACACCAATTTCTTTAGGAATCTACCAATAGATTTTATAACTCTAACTATTATCTCAAAGACTAATATACAACCAATCAATCAAAACCAAATCACAAAAGAAGAGATTACTCCTTCTTCCAAAACAAACTTAGGAGTATAAAAAAACCTTTTACTTTTACTTCCTTGAATGTTCAGTATTTGAGCCATAAAAAGGTTGGTATTAGAAAACAATGCAAGATCAAAGAATTCTTTGCAAGAACAATATTTATGTCTAATATGTTATTCCTACAAGTATATGAAAATTTTCTTATAAAGTATTGGAATAAGACTCACCAAATAGACTTCCTGTAAGACACTACATTTTGGAGCAAAACATACTACTTGGTGGCCCATAATTTTATTATAAGGAAGGTTGGCATACTACTCTCTAAGAAATTAGTAGCACAAGTATGCAAACATGGTATAATAGAATCCAAAAGAGTCCAATACTAATTTTTTTAAATTTTAAGGGCTTTCAAAATTGGTGTTATTAACATATACAAATATAACAATATGGGCAACAAAATCTAACTTTGAAAACATTTCAAAAAGTAATTCCTTCATAATTTATATTATATCCTTATCGATGACTTCAACTATATAACAAAAATAGCAAATAAACAAAGAGACAATGCCAATATTGATAAAAGACAAAATAAAACAACCATACAAAACAACCTTATACCTTAAACGATTCAATTGTTTCTACAATAGCCTCTTTAAAAAGACATGCCAAAAGTATTCTACATGGAATAATAGACAATAAGCACCAAACATGATCTGCTCTTGTAACAATAGAATCTATCTGCCAAATGAAGTCCAACAACAATGTCACAAGAATTTGACATTCAACACTGTCATAGGAATTTGAGACTTGTAAGTCATCAAATTGACCTAACTGTAGATTTAGAATAAAATTTTGCAATTCTAGTGCCAAATTTACAAGTATTAGATGAAGCTAGTATAACAAACTTTAGATATATATATATATTTTTTTCATGTAGCAGCAAAAATGCAAGTTCATGTAGAAAATTTAGTATACAATGTCTACTTCAAGAGCATTCTTGT